AATGAAACAAATCCATGATCAGAAGAAAGCTGATGAATAAATGACTCAGATCAAAAGCCACCTATCTTGTCATTAGTCCGGCCTAGCTGTCACCGTAGGTGGTACTGGTGTCGATGTACGGTGAAGGCTGCCGATTGTTACTGGCTGATCTCCATGACTGTGCTGCAGCACAACAGAGGCCTTCTTGATCACAGCTTTTGATGGAAGACTCCTGTCAGAGCAGCTCCATACATGTGTATGTATTTCTCCGTAGAAAAGTTGGCGTAAACTCTGGTCGCAGTGACCAATTAGCCCTGGTGCAGAGTGGCCTCCTGACCCTTGACCCCTGCTGGGTAGCCTTATCCATTAACCCCTCGGGCCTCAGCTGGAGTTGATGTAGCATCCTTTCTTGTGGCGCTGCTAAACACACGGCTGCATTCACTCTGCGGCTTCCACTTTCTGTCTCTTTGTGCGAGTCCTCTGATCCCAGTGTGTCTACTCGCTTCTTGTGGTGACCTCTCGAGTCCTCTGCCACACTCAGTCTGCGGTCAGCTTCCATCGCAGCGTCACAGTCATTTTAAATTTCTAATGGAGAATCTTCTTAACTGTATCTTAATTTTAGCATTATGTATATGCTGACTTTGTTTCCATTATGTGGTTTTTGTTTTTCAACTGAACGGTTGAGCGGTAGTTCTTTAAAAACGAGCCATGTTAAGCCACCTTACCAAGAGTAAATAAGGAGTAAGAGTCATTACATCTCAAATGACCAGATTTTAAGGGCATTTTCTGTTCAATGATGAAAATCGAATGAAAATAGAGTTTTCTTGTTAAAAAGTTAAAAAGTATTCTACATGCTTTATTTTGCAGCATTGTGAAATTCAGCTCTATATCATTCAGAAATTGTTCCCACTTAAGAAAGCCCGTCAGCGTCTCTTCTTCCTCAGAAGACTTAGAGACTTCCATCTGCCACTGAAGGTGCTCAAGAACTTTTACTCCTGCACCATCGAGAGCATCCTGACGGGAAACATCTGCACCTGGTTTGGTGCAAAGAGATCTGCAAAGAGTGGTACGCTCGGCCGAACGCATCATTCAATCAGAGCTTCCTGACCTGCTGTCCATCTACACCAAGCGGTGCAAGACTAAAGCTAGGAAGATTATGATGGACCTCTCCCATCCAATATTAAGTTTTTTATTAGTGTGTGCTCAAATATGGACTTTGCAGGAGTGCTGGATTTCTTTTTCATATTTCCACAAGTCAATATTCAAACATTTTTCAATATGATGGGCAGATGTAGGCTGTAGGCTTTCATCTTTGATAGTTAAGATATTTGTGTTCAAACATCGCCTCATCGCCTGAAGGCCCCGAAAGTAGGTCGATGGAACATTTTAAAATTTATATGTTTACATATATTTTGAAATCTATTTGACATATAAAGCTAAAATTTTACAGAAATCATTATATGTGACCAAACTTTGGCAAAGCTGAAGGCCGATTTTGATTTGAGATGGAATGACCCGGAAATAAATACACATTTATTGTGAATCCTCTGGAAGAGTGCCATCGTACAAACACATGGGCATAGACAGATAATTAGTTTTAATTTGACATGAATAGTTAGATTTTTTATTTATTTATGCTTATTAAAACCATCAACATAATATATAACTCTTGAGATCAAAAATCTCTTGTGTGCAGTTGTGTAAACTGGTAACATGGACACAAATAAAAAAGGTTAAAAAACTAAATATGTTCATCAAATCTACAAGTGATAAACAATAAAATAGATTGAAGAATGACTTCCCACTACTTTTTTGGAGAATGTAAGTAGGCAAGGAACATGGGAGTAAAGTAAGAAAAGCTTACCTGTGGTTGAGTCTATGAAATGATGGAGGAGACCTTCTGACTTGAGTTTTAAATGTAAAATAGTGAGTAAGCACTCAAAGGCTTGTAATAGTCAGTGTCCGATATATATAAATCACTGTGAAGGCATATGCACAAGTACAGTGGGAAGCAACTGGGGTTCTGGCTAAGCATGTAGGGAACAATATGGAGGTAATACTGCACCTGTCAATAATTATGGAAGCATTTATTTTTCCAGTTTCTGGTTTCATATTCAGTTGCCTGTAAATTATAATCGCAATATTGTGCAGATGTTTCTTACAGTGAACTTTATGCATTGTTCCTCACTCTCTCAGTACATGAAATAACAAATATGAGGAAAACAGATTTGTGTAATGTTAATACTACTCCTACCACTAGTAGTACAAAGTAGTAGTGGGAGAACTGGTAGTCTTAATACTTTTTAATGACTTTTTAATTATTAATGTAACCTGGAATTTTTCAATTTGGTTCATGCTGCAATGTTTGGAGAATCATAACGCAGCACTAAAAATAAGAAGTTTTTCTGACTATTTTACAGACAGCTGACAAAGGATCAGGTCAGGATGACATAGTCGATAACCCTACAGCAAACCACATAGGCTAATGAGCCTAATCAGTGCACCAATAAAATACCACTAATTAGTGAACAAATATAAATTATCTTTGTAGTCATACGATCAGTTGGTGCATTTCTAACAGTCATTCAAGCGCCTGCAAATGAATTGAGTTTGACTTAAATGTTTAGAGACTTTAGTGTTGTATTTCAGTCTCTAACAGATGCAAATGCACCTTCTGGTATTTCAGTAGCTTTTGGAGAAAAGAATAAAAAAAGACATGGTCAGATCTATAGAGGCTTCCTGGATCTGTGAATCAAAGGTCTTATTGAAAACCAAATGGAGAGACAACAGTGGATTACAAGGGTTTCCCCAGCAGGGCTCCTCGATACAGGCTGCAGGTCAACACAGGGACTCAAAGCACAGTTCGTGAAATGAATCACAAGATGGTGGGTTTTTGAACAAGACAGTTGTGGTGACTTTATCACTTGCTAAAGAGTTGAATTTAAAATGTGCCACTTTATAACGATGAAGCAAAAATGGCCCTTAAATGACCAGGTCAGTTAATAAAAAAAACTAATTTATAGATGAAAAACCCCAATGTGAAACACATGCTTCATGAAAAAAACAACAAAAGGCTAAAAAAAACATCAAATGTGCTTTTCTTCCTTCTCTCATGCTTGCACTACAATCAGCTGGTTTCAGTTTGTGTGCAGGGTGGAAGAAAATGGTGGAGTGATCTAAAGGTTTTGAGGAGGTATAAACATTACTCATGTTGATATTGCATGAAAGGACAAGAGCGCAATGGTAAAGTGTAAAATGCATCCAGGACAGAAACAACTGCTTTATACTGCTAACACAACTTTGGCTTTCAGGAAGCACCTGCACAGACAGCATGCTAGCTAGCCAAGAAACCACAATGATGTTAAAGCCGAGCGTTGTCTTGATTCCAGCACAGCAGCCAGACGCTGATTTTCAACAGGTAACGAAAGCGTTGATAAGCAGTCAGGCTTGCAGCATTGCAGCACAGCCTCTCTGGTCTGGTTTTCATCTTTGCTTTGTGTTGATGGTTTTGTATTGATACATAAAAACTAAAAAAAGAGCCTATGTGTGTCCTCACTAGGATGGGGATTTGTGTTGTTGTGTGAAACTGTAGCCTGTAGCTTTGTATTGTTAAATGGTAATTTTGTGACGATACATTTCAGCTCAATATATGAGAAAGTTAAGTAATGAGCAGTAAACAAGTTACTTTCTTTAGTGAGTAATTAAGTAACATACTGCATTACCATTGAGAAAAGTAAGAAGTAATATGTAATACATTACTTTTTTTGAGTAGCGACCCTAACACTGGCAGAGAGTCTGTGTGAGGGCCAAAGCATCAGGCGAGGTAGGAGTTTTGACACTGAAGGCAGGTGGTAAGTTCTGCAGCAAAAAGAAATGATCATCTCCACAAACCTTTTGAGTGGATCGAAGCATTACGTGCTCTAAAACGTCGTGGTAGATGGCTGCATTGCCTTAGGACACACCAAAGATATGACACACCAAATCAGCACAGATGGCAGAAACCTCAGGCTGGACCTCAAACACCTCCCCACACTTCCTCCAGACTCCAGGGCCTTGATTTCCAAATGAAATGCAAAATTGAATTTCATTTGAAAAGAGGAGTGTGGCTGTGTGTTCACAGCTAAAGTGAGAGATACACAGTATTTAAACTGTTTGAGTAGTAATTACCTCGAAATGAAATAGTCAAATAATCGGAGATACTGGACTTCAGATTTTCACGAGTTATAAGTCACAATCAGCAAAATTAAAACAAAAAGGCAGGAAATATTTGCATGTGATGAATACAGAATATATGAATGTTTTACTTTTTAAAAAAATAAATAAAATTATGACAGACTACTTTTTGTACTAGTGTAATTCACATTATTTTTATCCATATTAAACTAATTAAGGGTCCAATTCCATCCCAGGATAAAGGTAAACGTCCTGAACTTTGCTGTGCTCTTTCCCGTCCGGGACAAGTGAACTCAAGGCATGCTAGCAAAATGCTCCCTGCAGTGTAACAGCTATAGAAGCGTCTTGTACAATAAATTAAAGTTCAAGCAGTGCACTGACTTATATATCATACTATCCTGACCTAAATAACCATGATATGATGTCTCAGCAAAAACTGTAATGCTACTACATTTTTTAGAGTGTGCTCAGTGTCAGTAAGATGTAAAGTCTGAAATGATTTGTGCTATCAACAGGGTTCAGCGACCTTATTGCTGGAAGCGTAACGTGCACTTTAGATCTGTGAACTTCAAAGCGGCTGATTTATGACGCTGCAACACGACTACATCTTTGTTGGCATCATAAACTGATAGTACTTACACTAAAACACTTTTTCATCTCAATGGGCAGAAACCCATTTCAAATTTCATATTACTTTAAACGCCGTTTTTACTCCGCTGCATTTCTTTTACAGCTCAGTTTTAACACAGTAACGGGCAGGGTGGTTACAGTGTGGGTGGATGGATGATTATAAATGATAGATGTACCATTGTTGAGCTCTGTGAATCAAAATGACGACAAACACATGGTCAGTTTGAAAAAAGGAACACATTTTACTTGAAATACCAATATTTTCTCACAAAGTATAAATAATGATTTAAGATTGATTTCGATTTTATACAAAAATAATACATTAGGAGGAAAAGAAAATCATGTCCTGTCAAACAAGTACGAGTGCCTTCTGATCAGACGGCAGTAAATATGCCTATAACAGTCACAAACCAATGACATAATAATAACAATATTATGACCTAATATTGAACAGGAGACTGGATCTGCCACGTCTTACATGCCAGTTGTGTTTGCATAAATGCCTTTTTTGTCTCACAGGTTCTTAAAGCAAGAAGAAAACTCATGGTTGGTGCTAAATTTGGTTCACTATTGTCCAGCTAATGAGCCTGCGACGGTGTGTTCAGACAGAGAGCAAAAGCAAGATTTTGGAATTTTGGCACACAAAATTAATGGTATGACTGAGTAAGAGGTGATTCAGAGGTATCCACCTATGAGAGAGGGGAAGGAGGAGGGGAGAAAGAAGGATGCTGGAGGGAGGGATATCAAATTTGCATGAACCCCACTTTGGTATCTCTCTGAACAAACCTTAATACTGTTAGCGTGGGCGTCTGTACCCACAGCAGCTGCTCCTCTCCCCGACATTTCTCAGCCTTTCTGGAATCCTGCAATGATTAGAGCCGTTCCTGTCACAACATTGTCTGACTTTTATGTTTGTTTTGTTTCTGAATACTTGACATTATTATCATTCTACTCAAGGGGGGGGGGATCCTGTGATATATATTTTATGATGAGGAGTTATTAACAATATTTGTACTATTTCGGATTGAAGAAGGACGTGGGAGAGATAAAGAGAGGGCGGGTCCCATTCCTGAAATTCACCTGAATCTATGTGCAAACAACAGTCAGAGGTTTCCTGAAGGGGAAGGGACACATTTAGAGTCAGTGACTCAGTCCTTCCCTCGACGACTGAGGCAAGGCCAAGATTACAAATGTGGCAGAGTAGCTTATGAGACACGCAGCTGCAATCGAAGCTCCTATACTTTGGCATATTTTGTCACTCTTACACCCAATGTGCTTTTCTTTTATTTACAGGCAGCTGTTTTCACTGACAGTGTACAAGTGTGTGGAGTTTTGTGCAGAATCCAGTTATACAAAGCATTGCATACACCTACAGACGCATTGCATAGTCCTTTCAAGATTGTCAAAGTCTTTTTCAATCACAGTATACACACTGAACAACTGGGAATGACAAACAGGCATTCATCCTTTGCACTACTGCTAGTACAGTAAACCGAGTGTGAAAGAATAACATGGAAGACTTTTAGAATGTCAAACGCAAGATCAATAAAGGTTATTGTGATTGTCACGTAGTCTGCTCACGCGCAAGGCTTTCAGCCCAGTCCTACCTCGGCCTGCACACAAGCAGATCAGTGTCTCTGTCCCTTAGTGCCAGCGTGACTTTGTATTTCCACCTTAGATCACAGTTAAAGTCATCGCAGAGCCTTCAGTCTGGTTCGTGAGCAGTTTTTGGTGCCCGATTTTTGTTCCTTGGTAATGTCACAACAGAGGATGACTGCAAATTGTTAAAAACAAAAAAAAAGAGAGAGAGAGAGAGAGACGGGAGGATGGAAAACTGAACACTGTTTTCAAAAGATTCGGTTAAAATCATACATCCCTGTTGATCATTTGTGTGCCACAGAGGGAAATCCAGACTCCTCCCTTTCAGGTGCAGGTGAGTTGGGGGGGTTTTGGTTTTTTTTTTTCCACTGTCCCCTTTTCTCATTTCCACCGCCGTGCCCGCCGTCGTCACTCCTCTGCGTCTGTTGACTGACTCATCATCCAGCACGCTGTTGCGGGTTATTAGGAGTTGTCATGGTCACCGCGATGAGAGGGTGGAAAAATGCGCTCTGGTTGCCGGGCACCGAGGAAGTCAGGTGGACGCTCTCACCAAGCTTGAAGAGGACACTGTGGAGGTGGAGGATGAGAGAAATGTCAGACGAAGCAAGGCTGTGTTTCATAAAACAATAAATACAATCTGTCCAGTAATTTACATATACAGACACACAACGGTGATGATGGACTACAGTGAATTCCTGTCATTCTGACCCTTTTCTATATGTTAATGGGGTGAATGGCTGTTTATGGATAAGCTTAAAAAAATGAACGAAGCGCGATCGTCATATTGGTTGAATTAGACGGCATAAAGGGAACATTTCATGTACCTGATGTTTCAAATATATAGAAGAAATGTGCATTTATTTTATATTATACCTCAGTATAATGAAGCGATCACTAATTAATACCAAATTATAATGATCCACCAAAGTAACAGAACCAGTCAATGACAAAGCTGCCATAGGTGATATTTTAGCCATTTGGGGTCAGTGGAAAGACGTCTTTAGCACACTGGCACCGTCAGGTGTAGATTTTCAGTTGTTAACCTTGTTACTTTACAATGTAAAGCGCCTTGAGGCGACTGTTGTTGTCATTTGGCGCTATATAAATACAATTGAATGGAATGGAATAGATATGGTGTTTTTCATGTGCTACAAAATGTATGAAGCTAATTGTGAGACAAAAAAGCATTCAAAGCCAGGCAGTTTATCAAAAACATGGATTCAATCAGCCAGGGCTTCATTCCTTACAAACCTATTTGTTAAAGAGCAGAAGCGCTTCATAAAGTCAACTCTATCTCCAGCCTCGGCTCCAATCTGACCAGTACCATGAGCTGCTGATCTTCTCTCTCTCCTGTGCGATGGTTTCTCCTTCACTTATTCTCTGCTATGTAGAATAACACCCGAATAAGTGACCAGCTGTCAGACGGTCAGTATTCGTATTTCTTCACAAACTTCACTTCACATGTTTCAAAATAAAAGCCTTTTCAAGAAATGAGGGGTTAATTCTTAAAAAACAAAACAAAACGAGAGCTGATGGCTGTTAATTTAAAGCAGACGTGTTATTACAAGAGCATTCTACGGCAAGAGGGTAGAGGATCAGCGGTACTCGTGACCGGTTGATCAAACAGAGGACAAGGCCAGTTACCTTTAGCAGCTGAGGTAAATAAAGGCTATCAACTATTTCATTCATGTGAATGAGAGAGAAAGAGCAACTGTCACGTTATCGTCATCATCTGGGATGGTTTTAGTTCACTTTTAATCTTGTGTCTGTTTCAAAAACTACTTGCTGAAGGGCTAAAAATACTGAATTCACTGCAACGTTCAAAGGTTAGCAGCAGCTGCCAGCAAATTTTTCAGGCAGAATGGTTTCTCACATACGCTGACATCAGTAATTAATTAAGACAACTTTGCCCAGTTAGCTTAGCCTTTACTGGATCTTCAAAATACAGATGAATTAACTGAACAAATTTCTTTTATCAGTTAAGACTGCAAATGCAAGACTTTTACTTGTGCAGTGTCACATTTCTACTTTTACTTCAGTGAACACTTCCTGCAGCCCTCCACCTTGATGCGCCACACCTGACCAAATACATTCCTCATCCCTCTTCTCCTAACTCTGAAAAGCCGTTTCCATTGAAACGCTCTCTTCGTTTAGACTGTTTGTGGAATTTATTTTTCACCTGCCTCTCTAGGGGTGGAGGCAGCTGACCCCGGTGTGACCCCCCAGCCAGCAAACAGCGTCACCTGATAAAGCTGACACGCAGCCAAGACCTGAGTCATTAGACGGCGGCTCTCTGAGCAGAGGCGAGTTTGAAGCAGACTCAGGTATAATGAAAGGTTAGTAAACAGCAAGTGTTATAAAGCCCGAGCATGCTGGTGTCACGACAAGGAGGCAAACCTATCCAAATAAAGTCCTGATAAGAAAATACCTCGGAAAGCTTTGGGGCTAACAGGTCACTAAATAAAAAAGAAGTGGTATAAAATAACCGAGTATATGTGCACTTTGTCTGGAATTTTATGCTACTTTGTACTTCCCTTCCTTTATGGCTAACATTTTACCCCAAAATGCGTTTAAAATATTATGACAAAATACAGCTAAAGCCTCATTTTTACAAAAATAACCTGCTATAATCTGGTAGAGAAAAAAGCTGAGATTTCAAGATGTAATTATTCATAAAATTCTTATTTAAAATTAAATATTTTGTCCATTTGATGCGGTCTAATAAAACTGCATTTAGCTACACGATTAACTTATTAATTCAGACGATAAATAGATAAATCCTTATCAAACAATAACGATAATCTGAGCACACAGATCCATGATATCATTAATAAAGAATAAATATCTTTTTTTTCTTGGCTAATATGTTGTGTTCAACTCACAAAAACGAAAATATTACAGACGGCTTCACCAACAAAAGGGATCTCCATATAGGTTGAACATATTAGGTAATAAAAAAAGTTTAAAACCATTTTTACATTAGTGGTTTTAGTGCTTTTACTTAAACAAAGGACCTACCACTACAGGTGACAACATCTATTTTTAGTCAGTTTTAAGGAGGCAGTAACACTTAGGTTAGAGGAGTTTTTGCTATTTGCTGCTCACAGGATACACAGCGTTCTCAGCTATCCTCCCCTGCAGCCATCAGTCTGGCAGTAGCAGCTCACGGTACAATCACTCTGTCTCAGCGTGGGAAATTGAGTGTGTGAAAGCACCGTGGACAACATTTCAGGCTAGAGCGATCACCGAGAGCAGGGAGAAGTAGGAAAGAGGAAGAGATGTAATTAGAAAAAAAAAAAAGGAGAAAAAAAAAAGCCGCCGCCCCCTCACCCAGCCCATCTCATCTCCAGCCTCACTGTAGCATGGAGGAAAGCTGCAGCACACAGGGGTTGAGAACTTTGATTAACAGGTCTCATTTCCTGATCGCAGAGGTAAGTCTCGTCGGGCAGAGGAAAGTGAAAATAGGGAGCATTAATCAAGAGGCGTTCAGGCTGAGGGAACATGTGATTGATTAGACAGCTGTTTAAGAGGAAATAGGAATTCTGAGGAGTGTCCTATCCATACATCCGTCTCTCCTAATGAAAGTGTTTGAACATCAGCCGTAAACAGAAAGCAAAGGGATCAACGTGCACAGCCACAACTGTCCTAAGTGATTTGATGTGTGTTTGAGTTTGATAATTTCACTCATGTAAACTGCGTGACTGAACTAATAAAATTGTATTTACCCAGGAGAGACCCCCAAGTTGCACCATCTTGTTTACAGGAGCGTCCTAATGTGACAGGAATCAAACAAGTCAGCACACCGTCATAACACACACACACACTTCTCCCTGCTGTGATCTAGTTCCTGCTGTTGCAGCGAGCTTTGATGGTGCTGTTTCTCTCAGTCAGAGTAAGGTGAGAAGGATTTTTCTTTTTTTTGTGCATCAGCAGGGAAACACGACAGTTGCAAAGAATTACAATATAAAATGCAAATTGAACGGTGATTCTCATGCAAATGTCCCCGTAATTACTCGAACTGAAATCATCATCGGCGGGTAGGGGAAGCGGTCAGAAGGTGCGTCTAACTGTAGCTGTTTGTGGCACGGGGTTAAAGTCTCACCGTCTTGCTCGAGGATATGGAGCTGAGGGGGCTGTTGGCGTCTGTGACCACCATGGCTGAGGAGAAACGTGACGGGTGGGAATATTGCGGGGGTTCTTGTTTGTGCGGATACACTGAAAAAGGGAGACATAATAGATTATTACACTTCCATAACAGGGACAAGTAAATATTTATTAAGGTTAAGAGCTGATCTACAGCTGCAGAGAGGAAGCTGCATACCTGGTGTGTAATATTATATTCAGCAACATTTACAAACTATCTTCTTCCACTTTTATTTGTGCTTTAGTTATTAAGAGTCAGGGTGGGAACTCTTTGCTTTAAACCACAAAAACTGACTTTGAGAGAGAAATCAGACCAGATGGAAGCATGGTGGCTGATTGTGGTGTTGTTTTAGGCTGGATTACTCTGAGCTCCTCCCCATTAAAGCTTCAAATCACATCAAAGTTTTTTTTTATGTCTAAATAAACACATTAAAACTGTCTGGTTACAAGTTGTGCTTTGTTTTAACACAAGGCCTAAAAGCTAATGTTAGAAACCTCCAAAAACTTGTTAAAAATGCATACTAGTGCCTACTGGACTGACAAAAACAATCAAAATGTGTTACTGACTGTGTGAGTGTGTGACGGAGGCCATGAACGGCTGCTGGCTCATGTGGCTCGGACTCTGCTGCATCAGGCTCTGCTGATGAGGGCTGTGGAGCTGCTGGGAAAACGGCACCGGCTGGAGCGCTGCAAGACTTCCCGCCACGCTGTTGATCACTGGCACCGTTTGAGACTGCGATGTGTTTAAACCTGGTGACACCCAAGTAAGATGTCAGTCACCACGTGCCTTTAGAACAAGCGAAAATTTGTATTGATGTATGCTAGACATACTTTGTGCTATGGCCATGACTCCAGACAGAGGCATGATGAGGTTCTGTGTCTGCTGATGGCTGTGATGGGAACTGTGGATGTTTGTGAGTGTGCTGACCGGAGGAAGTCCTCCACCTGAACCTGAAATCTGTAAAGAGATCATGGAAATAAAATTACAGTACAGTTTTATAGCAGTACTATTTGTTTTTAGCTGAGCACTACACTCAGAGTTATCAGAGTACTGGCTATGTAAATTCACATAAATTCATGTTCAAAGTGAAAGAGATGTTGGCAGTTAGACAAACAACAGACATAAATGTTGACTCAGTTCGGATTCTTTTGTACGACACCACAGTTGCGTAATTCCCATCACACACAAGAACATACTGATAAAGAAAAAAATTCCAAGGAAAATAAAATCATAATAAAATGGCTGTGTGAGTTGGCGTTGCGCATTCTCCGCGCATGTGGCTTCAAACAAATGCTTCACCCAACATTTACAGTAATCTTTATCTGGATCCTCCCCCTCAGTGGGGCTGCGTTTATTTGACTACAGCCTCCTGCCCACAGAGGAGAACTTGGCCCGACTCACATCTGCGTAAAACAACTGACAGCTCTGACCTGCCGCACACTACAATGCCTGCCCTCATTTCACATAATGCAGGGCAGAGGTAAACTGTGCTGTATGACTAATTTTTCCCCAGTTTCCAAACAAAATAAACAGTTCAAACGGACGGATACTGTAATCCCTGATGATTTGAATAATGCTGTATTTTGACATTAGCACATTGCACATTTTTTAAAAGTACTTGTACAGACGCTATGATAGTATGCACAGGTTTCCTGATCACTGATCAAATATTGAACTAGGGAAAAGGGGAGAAGTAGATGCAGAAAAAAAAGTATCGGGCATGATCAAATGTTGGCGTCATTTCTCTGGCAGAACAAGCAACACTCCACCTTTGGCTCCTCTTTGTGAGGCATTTAATCAATAGGAACAGAATGTTTCTTTGTCAGGTTTATTGGCTGAGAGATGAACATGCCTGGTGCACTTTGGTGATGGCTGCCTGCTAGTACAGCCACCGTGGCTCCACCTTCCAAACACAGCAGCACAATGTGCTAATTGTTGGCTCTTGCCAGCACGTCCATGGGAGAGGAGGTTCAGGAACCTACTTTGTACGTTTATGCTAAACGCAGGCAGGTTCTTATCTAATCTGAGGCCACCAGGGCCCAGGTGTGTTCACTCACCATCTTGGCGTCGGGTGACAGCAGACTGTGGCTGTGGTCCAGTCCTCCCGGAGACACCTGCTGGAGCACTGACTGGCTGGTCACCATTGCGTTGCTACTGTGGTGACTGATGGCCGAGGAGGAGGTGACCTCACTGGGAACTTGCACGTATCTCACTGAGAGAGAGAGAGAACCAGAGAGAGAGCAGGTTAACTTGACTTGTCTTGCCTCACGGTCGCTGTGTGCTGCAACTATTGCAGGTATATAGGGCAGTGAAGAGCATTGGCTCGTCAGTGCTGAGCAGTGACACTGTCACTCCAACCCACCGCACTCACCTGCTCTTTGACTCGGATAGGGGAGGACTGAGCAAACAAAGACAGTGACCCGTCCACTGCTGCTATCTGAGCAGCTTAGCCAAGGCCATTCACTGTGTACATGCACTCACATAAGCAGGACTCCCATCAGACTCTGTGACCAGCATACAAACATTACCAATGATGTTTGTATTACGTCAGGGTTACGAAAAGATATTCAGTTTGAACAAAGGTTGTCCCTAGTGCTTTTTTATTTTTCACCTTATAGAGCAATATATTTGGTCCAAGGTATTTTAATAACTGTCATTAAGAGTAATGGTAGCTGTACTTAATGAATTGTCTAAAAAGTATATCATTTAGACTCTAATGTTAACTTTACTTTCACATTTCCTCCACTACTTTAGGCTACTGTTTCACTTAATAGTTGTACATTATGCTTAGGAACATATTAAATGGGGTTTTCGATGTTTTAACTAATATATTAAATATCATCAGCTTTTATTCCAGTGTATTTAGCTTCCAACTGTTAGCCATACTGTTAACTAATCCCATTTTTATTCATATTTGTAGCTAGCAATATATTAGCAATGTATTTCTAACTAACATTTTTATGTGTTTATCTATACTATTGTCCAATAATTTCAATTGTTATCTGTACTTTTTCGTACTTTGTACAAAAATACCTGGGGGGTTTTTTTGGGGGGTTTTTTACATTTTTACCCAGATATTTAAAAAATTTTCATTGTGTATTTCCAGCTAAGAATCTTATTTGTTTCAGTCTCTGAAGAGGATGTGCCTTCTCAGTAAATGATGCTAAATCAAAATCATATAACTCCATAATAAGTAACACTAGCACAAAACTGTAATGATGGTTGCAGAGCCAAAACATTAGCATTTTTAATGGCATAGCAAAAATAAATTGCTGAAATAAAGATTTGTCAGCTATTTATCTAAAGTTTTGTACTATTAGTGCTATTTAGGTGCCTTTAGGTACTCAAAACTGGAGTTTTATCTATATTATTATCCAACTATTTTATCTACTTTTAGCAATTTTAATAATTTTAACTTTTAGCTGTACTTTAAACAGATATATATTTGTAATGAGATATTTCAATTTGTATTTCAATTTGTTTATCTGTGCTATTAGCTAATAGTTTCAGCTGTTATCTGTACTTTCAACCAAAAGCATCCACATTTTATTTGTGTTTTTGCTAGCTAAACTTGCTGTTACATGATTTCAGCTAATTGTTTATTTGTTTCACTCACTAAATACGAGCAGCACAGATTCAGCACATTTATGCACGATGCTAAATCTAAATCATATAACTCTAGTGTGATAGGTAGCACTAGCATGAATTGAAGGCCAAATGGTGGAAACATTAGCTTGTCAATACTAAACAGGTGAAATTAAGATTTGTCAGCTATGTCTTTCAGGTTTTGTGTTTGTGCTACCTATTTAACTTGGGTACTCAATACTGGGGCTTTATTTATCAATACTATTACCTAATTATTTTTATTTGTTTACCTTCAGCATAATTTCAGCTAGCAATTTAAACTGTTATCTGTACTGTTAATCCTTTATAGCCCCCTTTTATATATATTAGCTAAACATTAAAATTTCCTTATCGTCAGTTTTACCCAATATTTCTATGTATTCATCTCTGCTGTCAGTTAACGATTAGTAATCACTAGTTACCATTTTTGTTTATCTATTCTATCAGCTAAAACCTTTTTGTTTATTTATCCAAACTATTATCTAATGAAAAATCTGCACATTCAATCAAGATATCCAATTTTTTATTTATATTTTTAGTTAACTATACAAGCTTTTTATTAAGACGTTTTAGTTAAATATTTATTTGCTTATTTATACCACTAGCTAACATTTTTAATTGCTAGCCATTGTGTTGATTTGCTGTTTGTTTTGTTTTTTCACATTTTCATTTCAATAATTTAGCCATTTCTATTGGGTGTCTGTTTCAGTCTCTGATAATCCGTTACTTAGTTAAGCCGGTCTTCTCAAATCCCCCTACTGGAGACCTATCCTTCTGTTTGCAAGTGGCAGCCAATCACAAGAAAGTTGGAGGCTGGCCTAAAGGAGATGAGACTAAAACAGCTTGTATGAGAGGCTCTGGTCCAACGCCCAGCATGCAAACTCAGAATGATAGATAATGACATTTTTTCAATTGGTAATCATACTAAGAAACTGCCATAGAGTAAATAAAAATGGAACTGAAAATGAGAATAAAAAGTGTCTTATAAAACTGGGAGCCTAGTTACAGTCCACATTCCAAACTTTCAAGTTTTTGTTATATTTCAAACAGTTTAAAGAGATTCACAGTGAATCGATGAGAATAAATTTAATGACATCACTTAATCCCCCGTCTAGACTACTTTCTGTCTCTCACTGGAGGCCCATAGGAATGCTCCACCTCCCAACTGACAATCAAATGTATGTTTGCTGATGCAGGCCTCCCTCTGATATCAACAGAGTAAACATTACACAATTACAAGCAATGCCAAACACATTCTTATCCTGTGGTTTCAACCTCGCACTGTCACACAGTGCTTCCCTCCCTCAGTAACAGTGCAGAGACAGACTCTGTTTGCACTAAGATCAACATCATCTTCCCCAAGTCCCACGTCCCTGACCCAGGTGTGACAGCCGGAACACCCTGCAGAAGTCGGAAGTATTGATATGCACACATTTCGAGATAAAAAGAGGGAGAGGCTTTGACACAATAGGTGAGCAATGAGAGGGACATCGATTTCTAGGTGTTGCTGTGCAAATCGTATAGTTTAGTTTGCTTCTAATGAGATTTTGCCAAAACCACTAATCATGAAATCGCTGTAGTTTACAGCTCCATCTTTATCAATGCATCTACAGCTTTAACCATAACAATCTTGAGACACCATTTCTCTACATTTGCCGAAATCTGTCTTTGTACAGGTTTAGGAAATCCGATAACCTGTTACTGGGTGAGCTTCCAGATCTTCTAGATGCTGATTTTAAAGTTTTTCACTCCTGCTCCAAGTCTTTCTTTTAAAATACGAACTCTTGTTAAGCTTCTCATTTAAGAGATATGCAAGTAATAGCAATCTTTTCATTTAACTATCGCCAGTAAAGCAAACATATTTCATGCAAGCACATCTGATAATGCGGAGCTATTGCTTTGAATATGGATAGTTAAAATGCAGCTACTTCAAAGCTGCTGTCATATTTCATCCTCTAAAGTACCTGTCCTCCATTTTGTACGGCCAACAGACATCATATTGTGTCCTGCAACATACTATCAACCCCACAACACCCCGCCGTGCCTTGTAAACACTGCCACAGAACAATAAAGCACTCCATTGGACTCATGACCCCCATTGCCACACAATAGAGGAGGACTCATAAAAAGTCAGTTATCTCGGAGCTGGGCCACCTCTTAAAGGATGCTATTCAGGAGAGTTTTGTTTCTTTGGCTTCTGTAGTAATTTAAGCTGCAGGGAAGCTCAGACTTCCACAAACTAAAGTTAGAAACTAGGGTTTCTAGTCTTTTTGACGGCCCAGTCAAGAAAAAAAACTGCAACTTGCTTTTTGAGAGCAGGGGGAGGGCGAGAACTTCAGGATGGGAGTGGTAGCATGGACCTTCAGCAGGTTTAAAAGCCTCTAGCTCCCTGTGTGACCCATGTAATATCAAAGCCTGCCTCCCCAACCCCAGGCAGTGCTCATTGTAGTGCCGCTGAATATGACAGACCTCCTGGGTCTCTGCAGGACGTAGCCAGTCTCCTCTTTGTAGCACTCTGGGAGCACTGGAAAGTGCAGAGCTAGGCCATTCCTTCTGTGTGTGTGTCCCTGTTTTAAGCTAGCCTGAGGTTACAGAAAGCAACACAACCCACACATGCTACTGTATCTGATCTGGAACTTCTGAGTTTGCTAGTTTGGTAACGTGCAGAACAACACAGTTCAGCTTACACAGCGCAATTTAGCTTCAGCTGTCAAATTACCATCAATCTAAAACACTCCATCACAAGCAAAAGTTGTCTATTCAGAATCCTGCTTAACAAAAAGACAAGCATTATCTTCACAAACCAGGTTACGTGATTGGTCCGATTTGTTTGTCTGCTTGTTAGCAGAATAACTCAATAAATGACACGAATGTTTTAGCAGCTTGGACTAACATGCACGTGATTCGCTTTTGTCCATGGAAATCTGAATTCATGTAAGATTGCTTTTACATATTCCTATCAAAGTAAAACAGAATAATTTAAAACCACCATTTTTAGAATATATTAAAATCTAGTACAATCCAGACATCCTTCTGGATCCAGGAACTCAGTTTGTGGAGGGAATTTTTAGCCTTGGTGGAGCCATGCAGATACTGACTGCTCCTGCTGATAAAAAAATGACTTTTTGCATAAAGAGTAAAAGTAACTTTCATGCTGAAAACTCCCAGTTTTGTTGATGAAACTAACAGTAGCTCACTGTTAGGTTAGCCTCACTGTAAAAGGGTATACAGAAGACATCAGGCTTTTTTAGATTCAGCTTTTAAAAAAAAAATAATTGTAAAACGCAGAACTTCAATACAAAAATTTGGATTTTTGAATGATTTTCATTCATTTTTATTTTTTCTTTGGCCAAGAAAATGCTGATTGATAACCATACCATTTTAATGACACCTATAAATTTGTTTGAGGAGCTCCTACTTTAAAGAATAACGGCTAAATAAGATGCTTTTGATAAGCTCAGTAAACATGAGTGGATGAATATTAGGCACTTATTACATGGGACGACACAGACGGCTGCTATAAAATACTGTAAGCAATCTGCTTGAAAGATCAGTTTCATTTCCTAAAAAGGTCACCACCAAAAATGCACGTCACACTGTTTGACTGTCTATCCAGTTGTGACCAACTGATCAACGAACCAAAGCAAAATCAATAAAAACTCCCTGACTAAGAGGAGTTCCTTTGAAATGACCCAGAAGTGACCTCCCTTGTAAGACTGAAGGTGTGGCGGCAGTTTAAGGAGGGGGGTTACCAGCTTTCTCTATAGGCGAAGAAGGGGTCATCAGTCCTGTCTGGCCAGAAAAGAGCCAATACCACAGTGGACAGCTCCTGCTGCTCCAAGTCTGCGACCAGCCTCAGCAACTATACTAATGTCCATGAAGGTGAGGAGGGGGGGCTTTAAATTCAGTCCTCCTCCAGGCCCAGCCAAGATAAATGAACCTAGGTTACAGTGACTGCAGTCTTCTAATACACCACAGACAATGGGACCTCCTGCTGGAGCAGAGTATAGAGAGTAGAATCAGAGGAGCCCCTTATCAAAGGCCTGGGAGATGTAGCAGCAAAGGATTTTAATTGTCCATTAAGCATGCATAATATAGGCCGTGCCCTAGCAACGCAATGAGGTGCCCCACTGGGATATTATTGTCAGTTCAGGGGATGACACTGAAAAACAGCTGATGCTGTCAGCATGATGCCAGCAGGACACCTTGTAAGCAGCCAGCAGAGAGATTTTGGTGAAACAAAGTGCTCTCCGCCATGCACCAAACCTTCCTTTCTTTGCATCCTGATATCCAGGCCTGCTCAGGTGTTCTCAACAAAAACAAGGAGACAAAAAACCTTAAGCAAATAGACAATCCACAAGTGGGACCAGTTTATGGAAAGGTAAAAGAGCAAGACAAAGCAAACCATTAGTCTCCCCTTCAAAGCTGGACTCGTGTTCGAACACAAGAGGATAACAATGGGATCTGAGTGAGTCTCTGAACACAGAGGTTTATGGAGGGTGAGTGATGGCATGGGGATAATGCTCTGTGAGCCCTAGCTGCTTTGTTTTATGTAGTATACGCAAGGTAAACTCAGTCAATACTAATTAGTTTGGATGCAAACATAAAGGCAAGGTGAAATGGTCAGAGCAACAGTCCACAGCCTTCTCCTTGTTTTGGCAACTCCGTGAGTCCTTAGAAAACTCGATGGAAGGAGGAAATGTGGAAATGAAGGTGGTACATCGAGGTGATGTCTGTTCCCCCTTCTATGACCCTGGCCTGACCCTGGCCTGTCACGGGGTTGCTGCCCTTTGTATCATGCCTCTCCATGCTGACTTTGGAGTGGAGATTGCAGGTACAATGTGGATTGTTCTCAGTGTTTTCAAAGATCAGAATAACAATGCCACTCGCTCAGCTCACTCACTCACGCTCATTGATCACTTGTCCTGTCTTTCTCTGGCTCTCTGATCACATCAACTGTGAGCCTCTGTGCTTTCCTCACAATAGTTTTACACCAAAGAAAATGAAATCATGCACCTTTTGCGCCACCGTCATCAAGTCTCCCATAGGCTGATGTTAGCATGTGTAATCTGCCGAACCGCTTGCAAAGCATCACCACTTGACATCTTACTTGGAGGTGAAGCGCTGGCCTGGGGATGATGCGGTGAGCCATGAGAGAGCAGAGGGTTGATGCCGTGGCTCGGAGCAGTGATTGCATCCATGGCCAACTTCTGCCTGAAGGCTTCCTCTTTACGCCGGTTGGCGAACCAGTTGTAGACTCGCACTTCCGTGACCAGATTAGAGCCGAGGCCTTGAGCTTTGGAGGGGGAGACACCTCTCTGAAGACACTCAGCTCTGCGGGGAACAACACCAGGTGAGAATGTGGTGGTAGCACTGCACGGGCAGCATTTTTGTGCTAAAAGTGGCCTCATGTGTGTCTACCTGTTACACTCCTCCACCAAAGCCTCCCGCTCCTCCTTGCTGGGGTTCTTCTGCCGCTCGTAGGCCTGGTACAGGATTTGCTGGGACGCAGGCCCCCATTTGAAGCGGTTGCGCCTCATTTTCTTACAGGAGGGTTCGATGCCCACCTCTTCGCCGGGCTGACCCATGCTCTGACCGGATGGATTGAACTCTGCAAAATAATAACCCTGATCTGGATTTCCTTTGTCAGCCATACTGCTGCCAGGACCATGAGCTGCCTGGTTGAACTCTGAAAATAAGAAGAGGCTTGTTCAATAACGCTGATATCAAAATGCTTTCTTATACAAAGTTTGGCACTTTGAATGTATAAATTAGATGCATTTTCACTTTTGATGCATAATGAAAAATAGTTGCATGTACATGCCATTCATCAGGGTGAGGAAACATGATATCCCTACAGGTTTCAAACCCAAATAAAGCAGCGTGCTGCTGCCAGCTAAACATTTCAGGCTGTGGCCAAGCTGTGAGAAACTCAAATATTAACTTACGTCGTAGAATTTCCCGCTGTTTCCTGACATACCAGGTGTAAAGGGCCGCTCGCTTCTGTGTTTTCATGGGCGTTCCTTTGTTGAGGTGCTGGGAAAGGTGAGACTGGTTCAGCCCTGTGATGTCCACCACCTCGCGTTGGGGGATGTTGTGCTGCTGCATGTAACCTTTGATCATGCGGGCAGCACGCCATGGATCCTCTCTGCGTTCAGTTAGAACAACAGGGGCAGAAAACATGGTTCATTGCAGCACTCAAGTACGTGCAGCGTTCAGGGGAAAGTTATGAAAAGAAAATCCACCATTTACTCAAACTTTGAGGCTCAAATAAAGAGTTCTGGAATAGTCATGCTATTAAATCACTAGTTCATGTGAGATTGTATCATTTCAGATGTGGAAATGGTTTTAAAAGTTCATATTTAAAGTAAATATAAAAGTGAAACAACTAGTCATGAACTTGTTCCCTTTTGTTGTTTCCCTGTTTTCAAAGCCTGGAGTTTAAGGGGTTTGTAAAAATAAAGAGTCTCCAACACAGACAACCCATTTATTATTCCAGCCTGCTCAGTGAGCTGTAAATATTTCCAAAGGTTAGTTCAGCTCAGAGTAGATTTAAGCAGCATTGTTACCTAAACTCTTCGATTTAATATAGAAAGAGTAAAAATCGAAATTAAAACCATAAAATAAACTTTACATAGGCTGTCTTAACTTTAAATATCTGATCTACTCAAAGTATAAAATAAAAAATAAAACAAGACATAATTTAGTATAGCACAAACAGCAGGATATTCTTTAAAAATGTAAAAATGCAGAATTTCTTAAGATGATAATCAAACCTTAGGTTACAGTCATATATTAGGCTCTAAAATTAAAATTTAACCTCAAGGAAAACTCCGTTAAGTGATTAAAAAAAAAAAAACTACATTAAGTTGTATGGAATTTATATCATATATAAATTTAACTTCAAATTTTAAGTTTAAGTGGTAAAACTGTACCTTTATATTCTGGTTAATTTTTGTTGCAGCGGTGTCTATTTAAAAAAGAGACGAGTGGAAATTGAGCCTTACCGTGCAATCAGACACTAACAGGCCCAGACACTCGGACATCGGTAATTATTGCAAATCTGCGCACGTCTGTTTGTTTTGGAGAATGTGGAGGCCTACATCTAAGTCTGTGGGTTAAGTGGGAGATGTTAGTTTATAACTTTTGACAATGAATAACCAGATCTCCATTCACTCTAATCACACGCCACTGTGTATCTTTCAGTTGATGATTTATAGAATAAAATTAATAATAACTTAACTACACGTGGGTTCGTTTTGATATTCTTCCGGTGCTGTTAGTGGATGATAGAGCCTCAAATATTAGTTCAACGACGATGAGTGGTTTGAACGGAGATAATTAGAAAGAAATGGCTTCGTGATGGGATATTATTTTTCCGTGAGAGGGGTTTACAGACAGAGGAAGAACCGGAAAAACAAAAAAATTGTCACAGTCAAATTGATTTAATAATAATAATAATAATAATAATAATAATAATAATAATAATAATAATAGAAGTTGTATCGTTACTTTCTTTTTGTGGAGTCCGTGCGCCCGGCGTTTTTATCGTCGAGAGGTGGAGTAGCTATAGTTAATAATAAATAGAAGTAAGTTCAGCTGATATTTTGCAAAGGTAAAGAAATAATAATCCGTGTGGATAATTAGTAACCAGAAAGTGAAAACCTAATCGTGGCGGGTTATTTTAAAATTGTAAACAAAGCCTGAAAAGTGTTTTAGGGATATTACTGCCTATTATTATTGTATATTTTTTAACATGTTAAAAACCTGATTTGAAAAAGGCGTAAACTTCTAAATTAAGAGCACATTGGGCGAGCTCAGACGGATAAAAGTAAGCGAGCATATGCGCAAATTTCACTTTCTTGTCTTCTCGTCTGCCATAAAAAAAATAAAATTTCAAAAAAATAATATAAACTTTTTAGAAGATAGAAATTTGTCAGGAGAACTTACGCCAACATGCGCTCCACCTCCGCCCTCTGCTCCGCGGCCTCCTCCGTGTTGAGCGATTGGAGTTCCTTTAGTATCGGCGGGGTGTCGTAGTCGTCCCCGTCCTCGGAGCCCTCGTCGCCGGAAAGCTTGCCCTTGCTGTGGCCGTTGGTGAGCGTGAGGAAAACGGGCTTCGTATCTGCGTCCCCTCCGTTCATCTTGCCGCTCTGAGGCGACATGGGCAAGTTCTCCAGTTTTACTCCAAAGTTCGGCGGGCTGGGGTCCAGGTCGTCTAAGGCCTGGATCAGAACATCTTTGGTAACTCCTGAGTCCAGCAGGGCGTTAAGGAGCTCCTGCTGCAAGGATGTCAGTTTCGACACCATTTTAAAGAACATTAAAAACACCACATAGGCCTACTGTGTGCGCGCTGGAGCCGAGGGTTGAAAGGGAGGATCGTGGGGAAAAGACCAAAAGGAAAGTCAAAATAAAGTTCCTTTCTCCCTCTCTGGTTTTCGGCTGCTGACACCTGCTCCGAGAAGCTGCTTCACTTCCCTGTTGAAGGGGAGGGATGGAGCTACTTTGCCATGATGCTTTCTGAGAGCGGGGGAATATAAAACATGGTAATGAGTGGGCCGGCTGATGGGAGCTTTTATGTAAATCCACAGAATAAGGGCCGCTTTGCGCCGAGGCAGACGTGTTTACACTGCTGCACGGCTGCTTTTATTGGCCCCCCTTATCAGCAAAACTTTCGTGGACTTCGGACCCTGTTGTATATGCCATAAAGACTAAGAAGGGCTGCGCATATTCAGCTGCGCTGGATCAGTAGTTTTATTCCATAAAAGCACCGAGACAGTTAGGGACAGAGTTCAGCTAGTACAGTACAAGTACTTTTTTGGCTATTTAACTTTATTTGTGTGTTGGAATTCTTTTCTCCGTGTGTGGGGTTTATTTTTTGTTTGTTTGTTTTTGTGTTTTTTGTTGTAAATTAGATGTTGTTTATTGTTAAAGCCTCTAATAAGCCATCTGTTTTTACATTTTTTGGAAATTATTGCCACATATGAGGTCATATGGATAGCTGAAATGTGTCTCCAGCTTCAGAGTTGCTACAATAACTTATTTTACATTTATATGAAGTTTAAGATATAATGTAGCGACAGTATGCAAATATATTTGCCTCCTTTTAAAAATCATGCTCTTGTCTTTTCTGCGCACATCAACCCTTCCAAAACTATCCATGTACCTTAAATTGTCTCCGTTTTATTTTACTTATAAATCTTAAATTCACTCAGGAGTAAGACAAACCCTGAGTCAATACCGATAAGCGCAGAATGACGTTTTGGGGATCACAATTGACTTTACCTCTTCACCTTAAAGCAATAAAACAATAGCTAATAAAGTTATATTCACCTGTGCTCGTCCCATGGGGGTCACCATGCAGCTCTGACGCACTCACTCAGCCAGGTACAGCGCGAGGACGAGCTAGAGCAAAGCATGCAGAAGTCACACTCTATATTTTTTACGTGAAGATAACAAATGATTGTAATTTAAGATATAAAGATATAAAGTAGTGAAGGTACGCAAATATAATTTGTTACAAGACTCCCTTTAAAAAGAATGCACTTGTCTTATCTGCGCACATCACCACTTTACAAACTATCCCTAACCCCTAAATTGCCTCAGTTTTATTTTACTCATAAACCTTCAATTCACTCAGGAGTTAAACAAACCCTCAGTCATTATCGATAAGAGCAGAGTGGATTTTTGTGGGGGGATCGCCTTTTCACCTTTGCTTCCAAATATTCAACAAATAGCTAATAAAGGTGCGTTTACCTGCGTGAAGCTCAAACGCGCTCACAGAGGCAGGTGCAGCCAGATGATGATGATGAGGGAGAGCAAACTCTGAAATCAAATATAAACTTTAATAAAAGTGGCGTGAAGAATATACACGTCAAAAATAACGAGATATGACAAGAAGGAGAATCAATTCTCAAATATAGGATACTTTATTAAGCGGGGAGATGAGTTCGCAACATTTCACTGTTGATGATTTCTGGGTCACAAATTTTCACTTCTTCAAAGGTGAATTAATATTTATCCGTAGCTGTTAATTCAGAGCAAATGATCTGTGACTTTAAAAAATATCTTTAACATTAAGACTTTTCGAGAGGCTATTAAACCCAAAGACTTACTCATATCATTTCTTGGATGAGAGATTCTTTGATCACAGGACGACGCTTAAATAAAGACAACAAATGAAAAGTTTAAAGCTGATATGGTGCCATGTAGTCCCACAGCATTACTGTAGAGGTCTAATATGCCCCAGCTGTGAACCCTAACCTGTAAACGATTAAAAAAAATGCAGGTAAATCTTTGAAAAGAGGCACTCTGCAGTTTAGAAATATAATATTAATAAATTATTTATAAATGAAATAGAAGTTATTCCTATTTGAGACACCAGAATCACCGATCTGGTGCCAAACGTGTTGAGTAGATTTCTGTTAATTAATTAATGATCTAATTGTTTCAGATGTACCCTTTAAGAGTTAGAGCCTAAGAATTACATTTTGTATTTTCCGTTTAACCTCCTAAGACCCGAACTCTTCCACAGCATGCATTTTTAATTTCTCTTTGATATTTGGGCATATTGGGGCCCGATGAATGTAAAAACAAAGAATGACCAGATTTTTCTTTTACCTTATTTTGTTTTTAAGAAAAATAAGAGCCACATATGAGGATATTGGTTTAAAATTTTGATAGAACAGTAGCAGTATAATGTCCTTGTAAGTGGATATCAAGCCCATGTAGAGCAAAATTGAGTATTTTAATCTAAATAACTCAAAATGTGATGTCCACATATGTGGACGCCAGGACCTAAAGGGTGGGAACTCCACTAGTCCTTCTTATATCTTTCATTAAAAACACATTCAAACTGCGTCTCTTTCTCTTTTGATGAAGATAAGAGATAAATAAAAAACAAGCTGCTGACTTCCACTGTGACTATGATGGTTTACAACAATCTACTTGGCCAATTATTGGTCAAACATAATCCTTTAGTGTAGTATCAATGTGGTTGATCATTAGTAATATGCAGGATTGCCCTTATTAGCATTATAGTCGTTATAATTCAGTGAGACTTTAACCATGCAGAAAACTACTGTGATGATCCTAATGTAGGTTGCAGGAGAACACTGTGTGACTATAACAAAAAAAATGTCCTAGTTGCATTACAGGAGGCAATAAAAATATCATAAAGTTCAAAAAGGTCATTAAAATTCAATGCTGGGTCTGAGAGACACAGAGAAGGCCTCTATAGGAATTTTAATTGTTTTACTGTAGTTAGGTTTCATTAATGGAACGTTTTGTTCTAATTAGGCCTCACAGTTGTTTCTCTCACATAAAAGATTGCCACAGGTTCCGGTGTCATTGCACAGATTCTCTCCTTATCTGCAGCTGCTATCATTGTATAAAGTTTCCCTTAGATGCACACCTTAGCTGCCCTTCGCTCTGTTGTGTAATAACCCAGAGGAAACAGATAAATTGCAGGCTGTCTGCACCTCCGTCATCTCTGCTGACAAGTTCATCGCTGAAAAAACGGATTGATTTTGTTAATAACAAAACAAATTGTCGTGTTACACCAAAACATTTTCACACAGTCGCAGGGGAACGGAGGGTTTGCTTGAATTACACATTGGTTTGAAACTGTAGATTTGTTGGGTTAAATGTAAATAAGAGAAAAGAATCACCCATAATACATGTATCCTCTGCAAAAGATACCGTATGTGTTACTAAATGATGGAGGATAGAGACATTACAATTTTTTTCCACTAATTTCTTTCCCAGAAATAACAGATCGTACCACAATGTCTCACAGTAACATTAACAGGCGCTCATACCAATCCAAACTTTGACATGCATTTCATTTTGGACTTTCACTTGTGTCCATTTTAAATCTGTCAGCCATTAACAACAAATAATAACAAGAAGCAGAAACAGTTTATCCAGTACACAGACCATCGAGGCTGTTGTGAAAGCAGCATGTGCACTGAAGCGTGGTGAGGAACGCACACTGCCCGTCACGGTTTCACACACAGGTTGAGCAACAACGGGTCTGGATCATCCTGGACCCTTGACAGTCCACCGGTCAGGGGCCCAGGAGGAAAGACTCGCATAGGAATGAATTTAGAAAAGACTTTAAAACGTTTCTCGTATTGTAACAAATTGGTGACAGCAATTATACACACACACACACATTATGCACACAGCAGTTGGGCATTGTGTTGCAGAGGGTGACATCCTTACTGACTAAAAATATCTACACCTTTATTGCTTCCATAGGAATTAAGAGGGTCAGTAGCAGCCAGGTGCTGATAATCACGTGCACCTGATCTTGAGCGCCTCTATAAAAGAAAAGGTTTGGGCAGTTTGCTAGTCTGGAGCATTCAGGTTTGTGTTAATACAATGGCACAATGTTCCCAGGAGTGTACCTTCCAGTAAATTCACCCCAAGGTCAGACTGTGCAATGCTCAGAGAAAGAAAACAAAACAAGACCTACATCTCAGACTCTACAGGTCTCAGATATCATGTTAAATGCTTTTTGTTTTGTTTTTTAACTGAACAAGTATGGCTTGTTTGAAAGGGTTGCCGAGAGAAAGCCGCTTCTCTTTAAAAACAACATGGCGCCGTGGCTTAGACGTGCTGTTTTGCAGGACCTGGGCACGTTGCAGCCATTGAATTGACCATCAACTCCTCTGTATACCAAAATATTACAAACCTAAAGCCCAAATGACCCCAGATATAAAACACATTTCTGCTCTACAAGATCATACAACATATTCTACAGAGTCAGTTTTGATTATGCCATTATGTAGATTATGGCATAATTTTGTTAACCTTTGTTTCCCTTTATTATTTTCAAACTTTGTACATTTTCCAGTTTCTATTCCAATAAAACAGATGACACGTCTGAAGCAGAAAATTACATTTTCCAGCTTGTATTTTATATTTCTAAGGATTTTAAGAATCTAAAGTCAGTGATGCACTGATCCAGCTTTATCAATTTCAGATTTCTGATTTGATACCCAGACATTGACTTTAATTACCAGAATTACCTGTGTTAAAGTAATGTGAAGGAGAGACTGGGACTAATTGTGTCAAGCGGTTAAAAGACGGCAGAAGGATTTTCTTCAAGAATAACATCACAGTGTCATCCAGACTCAATATTACTCTTGGACAAACACTGTGTTATCCCAAGGAAAAAAATACCCAGACATTAGCTAAGCAATATAGTGTTTTCTGGGCATTTTAGTAAGTATGCACCATTTTTTACACAAGAGAAACACTCCACAAATTCCTAACACAACATAGGAGAGCCACTCAGTTGTACACTTGCATTTCATGGAAGATACACTTTAGAGGATGCCAGTGTTCACATTTCACAAGAAGACAGAAAGTTTGAGAGAGAAATAATCAAGGCCATCTATGTCCACTGTTAATAACCAACCTTGAACAGAGGTGGTGGCTCACAGCACCAACTATCAGCCACCTAAAATACAGTCTTGGTGACCTCAATTAGCTCACATGTTGGTGCCGTGGAGAAATGTGTTATAAGGCTTTACTCCTTGGCCACTACGGTAATGACCCACACTTTTTTCCACACCTTGACTCACGTGACAACCCACATGA